ATGAATATAGCACACACCTACTTTCTATCAAAGGAAACCAAACAGGCCCTAAAGTTTTAAATAACACTATCGACTATCAAAGGCGGGCAGTGGGAACAGGTTAGCAACATTTGAGCCAAGAAATTAACATCGACCCCATCTTCTTCTTATTCCTTCCTCTACGCAGCGCTAAAATGTAGAAAAGCTAGTGGTAGAGGAACTCAAGTTACCATTAAGCTAACAAATAACTCGTTGCAGACTTTCTAGAAAATAAAAATAATCCAGACTCAAGATAAATATTTGTGTACCGAGAGACCACTATCTGACAATGCTACAACCCCAGTTGCTTTCCAACGTTCTAGCCGGCTCTTAGTGCCGGGTTCCTCTTTCTTTCCATATTTAATTCCTTTCGTGACATCAGCTGCAGCTGCTCCCTTAACACCAGGCAACACCATTATTTCCTTTTTAATGAAGCCATCCTACACAGAGGCATGCAAACATCATATACTCACTCTGATTCAAACAGCTCAAAATAAACAAAGCTAATCCCTTTTTTTCCCTGCATACAAAGGTTTGGTTTGATATGAAAACATAGCATACACATATAGTTTCTCAAAGACAACAAATTTTACCCCTTGGTGAAGACCCTGAGACGCCATGAGCATAATCTTGGACCCATCACCAATGCCCGACGAGGCCAGGGTCAATTCGTCCGCAAGAACTTTCCCTGTAAATTGTTGCAATTCAAACCAACAACTCACGGACCCCACAAGACAGATCGAATCAGAAATGAAAACTAAAGATGTAATCAGGGACAAAACCCTTGAAGATGAGTTTTTGGCCTCGAGGGAGGACGTTGGTGAGGCTCTGAAGGTTGAATTTCAGGTCTTTGATGGTAGAGCTACCGGCGATTTCGACAGGTATAGTGCGGCCGCTGAATTTTACAGAGAGCTTTACTCCATTTGCATCGGAACCTTGAGAATCCATTGTTTTGCTTTCAGTTAAACACTCGCAACATTGACAGTGTTTAGGGACGGTTGTCATATATAAATCAATTTGATTTAATTTCGACAAATTTGGTTGAAATATGTTTTAAAGTGAGATTTTGAGTTTGTATCAAGTTAATATTTAAAATAAAATAATTAAAATTGTGATTTAGCACTCGGAATAGCATGGCCCGAGTAGATAGCTCGGGTGGGTCGGTCTGAGAAAGCTCAGACATGTTCATAGATAAGTTATCCAATAAAGGAGCTCGTATGCGGCTTAAGGTACTGTTCAATATGAAGAACACAACCTGGGGGTGCCGACCACCAAAAGCTTTGTAATAAAGCCGACCTCGAGGTATTGACGTTATAAGATCAGAGGATTCAAGATAGGTTAGACCTCAGGATGAGGTCAGGTCCGATCTCGGGTAAGCTGCAACAACCACGTCAGGGGGTCGTGGTCACGATCTAGGGACCTAAACCAATGATAAGAACCGTGAATTGAATACTCGAATTGTGGGAACCTGCACTTGATGGTCGTCGGTTAACCACGAATTTGGGTGTTCAAACGAGCGGTTTTTGTTTGGTTATTTGATAATTCCTCCAAATGAAAAACATAAGAGTTTTTAAAGG